GAACCTCTGCAGGACACTGGGGCCAACCTGTGCAGACAGGGTTACGTGTGGCACCTGCTTCTGTGGAGCATGTTGTGTCCCTGCTTCACAAATGCCAGGTCCTTAAGCCCTGGGCAACTGTTGTCCCCGGTCTGTGGTGAGGAAAGAGGACCATAGCTAGACATCAGGGGGCAGAGTCTGATTTAGAGCTCAGAGCCTGTTCCCCAGTGGCCAGGCTGGCAGGCAGGAGGGTTCTCAGCCTGAGTCAAGAGTCCATGGTCCCAGCCACTCCAGCGTCTGGAGTGGGTGCCTTGCTGGGAGGGTGTCTTTTTATGATGGGAGGAGGGAGAGCAGGGTTGCAGGACAGAGCAAAGGAGGAACTTCAGCGATGGACCTGCCCTGGGGCTGGGCTCTCAGAGACAGGGCCTGGTGCTTCAGGGAGGCGGCATGGGCCTCAGTGATCCCCTTCTTAGTGGGGAGGGGGGAAGAGGAGCAAGCAAGGCTGGCTCCAGGCTATGAGGGACTGTCCCTGAGACCGTGCCTTCTACCCTGTGATGTGGGAGAGCATCCCCCCATTTTAGACCCTGCCAAGCCTGGCTCTTTAGCCCCTGCAGTCCCCCTCAGCTCCACCCCGGCCTTGCTTGCAGGTAACTCTCCGCCTGGACACCCACCCTGCTATGGTGACTGTGCTAGAGATGGGGGCCGCCCGGCACTTCCTGCGCATGCAGCAGCTGGCCAAGACACAAGAGGAGCGTGCTCAGCTCCTACAGCCCACACTGGAGGTCAACCCCAGGTGCAGTCCAGGCGCTTTTCTGACCTGCTGAGGGGTTTTTATCCTACAGGAGCATGCATCCTTCTCGGGCATGGGAAAGTACACAAAGGTTTCACTCAGTTAGATGGCTGTTTATAAGGAGAAGGCCTGTCGCTGTGACAAAATACCTGAGAAATTCAACTTAAAAAGAGGAAAAGTTGACTTTGGCTCATGATTTCAAAGTTTTTAGCCAGCATTGATTTGGCTTGGTCACTTGGTGTCTGATGCTAGGCAGAACATGGCACGGGTATGCAGTAAAGTAAAGCTACTTGTGGCAGCCAGGAAGTAGGGAGAAGGGAAGGACCAGAGTCCAATGTCCCTTCAAAGGCATGCCCTCGGTGACCTAACTTCCTTCTGCTGGGCCCTACCTCCTAGAGGTTCTATCCCCTTCCAGTGGTGCCACTCATGGGGGACCAAGCCTTTGACATAGGAGACATGGGGGATATTTAAGACCCAAACCACACACGATCCACACCATTGAACTATACTCCATGAGATTTAAACAGACTGGACACCCTCCCAGGGTTCTGCCCTCTGTGATTGTCCCTCAGAGGTCAGCCACATTTCACAGGACCGTCCTGGCGTCACATTGCCCTGTGTGCCTTAGAGCAGCAGACTGGCCTGTTTTGAACCCGGGAGTGGGTCCCAGCACATGTACTTGTCCTTCCCCCGCCTTGTTTTTTTTGGACACTGTTGGTGGCTGGACCCCAGGCCTCTACCACTGAGCCATACCCCAGCCCTTTTACTGTATCTTGAGATAGGGCCTCAAAAAGTTGCCCAGCCTGGCCTTGAACTGCAATCCTCCTGCCTCAGCCTCCTGAGTCCCTGGGATTGTGGGTGTGCCACTGCATCTGGCATGGATATTCTCTTTGAAATTGTCTTTTTCACACAGCATCCGAGAGATGGTCTGCAATCAGGGGCCTTTGAGGGTGGTTGTCACAGATGAGTGGCACCCACTGAATGAATCCCCCTCGGCACAGCTTGTTCGAGCGTTCTGTTCTGATGGCATTTTGGTGGTTTCCAGTTTGGGGCTGTTGGAACAGGGTTGCTGTGCACATTCTTGTTCCAGGTCTGGCACGCATGTGGCTTCTCTGGGAGGATCACTAGTGGTGAAGTAGCTACAGGTCCTCACTGGCCCAAGCTGCTGCCAGGCAGCTGTGGTGCTGTGGACCCTGGAGCAGTGCCCCCTCCCACAGAGCAAGACCCCTGGGCCCTGGACGGCTCCTGCGCGTGCTTTCTCAAGCATTTCCTGGCCTGGAGCTTGGCCCCTCTCTTTCGAGTAGAAGCGCTTGACTTTAATTAAATCTAGGAATCTGTCTTGGAGGCTTTCTTGGATCTTAAGGAACCTCTCACTGGAGGCCGAACTTAACCCCTCCCTTCCCTTCTAAGGTCTAGGTGACTCTGGCCCTTCAGCTGGCTCTGTAACTGACTGGTGGTCATAGGGGGTTGGATTTCTACCCACTCTGCAAGACAGCCATCGTCCCACCCACTCGCTGCACACACCTGTCCTTGCCCAGGTCACAGGGTGTCAGGTGTCCACGCACATCTTCTGCTTGTCCCTCTGCCAGTTCCGCAGGGTCCTGGGTGCTCAGCTTTCCCAGGTCTCCAGGCCCAGCAGCCAGGTCTGCCCCTGAGCTGGCTGCTTCTCTGTAAGTGGCCTGACCTGTGCCACGCCCACACCCCTCACACACAGGAATCCAGCGATTGTGACGGGGATGGTCTTAACTCCCTAAATCAATTTTCGAAAGAACATGGTATATTTCTCCCTTTACTTGGGACTTTAATACCTTTTGGCAATTTAGGTTCTCTGTGTAGTTCTTTTTTGTTGTTGTTGGATTGTTTTGTTTTGTTTTTTATACTGGGGATTGAACGAGGAGCACTTAGCCACTGAGCTACATCTCCAGCCCTTTTTATTTTTCATTTGGAGACAGGGTCTTGCTGAGTTACTTAGGGCCTCACTAAGTTGTTGAGGCCAACTTTGAATTCACAATCCTCCTGCCTCAGCCTCCCAAGCTGCTGGGATTATAGGTGTGTGCCACCATGCCTGGCATGTCCTTTTAGTTTTTATAGCTGATGTCTTTTTTTTCCTTTGAGATGGAGTCTCCCTAAATTGCCTAGGCTGCCCTTGAACTTGTACTCCTGTGTCAGCATCCTGAGTCTCTAGGTTTACAGGTGTGTGCCACATCTGGCTCTAATGCCTTTTTTTTGTGGGTGCTACTAAGGGTGTTCCACCACTGAGCCACATCCCCAGCCCCTTTTTATTTTGAGACACAGTCTGCTAAGTTGCTAAAGCTAGCCTGTAACTTCCTGCTCCCATCTCCTAGTTGTTGGGATTCGGGTGTGTGCCCCCACACCCAGCTGGCTGCTGATGGGTCTTTTTATTAAATGTTTAAGTTATCATTTTCTGAACTCTTTTTATTTTTTGTGGTGCTGGAGGTGGAACCCAGGGCCTGTGCATGCAGGGCAAGCACTCTACCAGCTGAGCTATGTCCCCAGCCCTTGTTTTGCTTGTCGTTTTTTTAATTGGTAATAATCTTTTGAAACGAAATTATATAAACAAGTTACCAAAAATGTTAATAGCGAAAGGAAAACCCTCATCCACCTCCTCACCTGCCACAGCGTGGCCTACTTGGTGAATCACATCTGTGTGGAGCTTTCCTGTGGCACATGGCTTAACTTCTTCATTGTCACTTTATCATGGTCTTTACCATGAACTAGTGGGCTGGGGAGATCTCTTTCCCCTTTTTGCAGGTCACTTAGGTAAATTGAGTGTGGAGCAACAGGTGGCAGCTCTGGGCCGGTGGCAACTGCTGACTAGTTCTGCTGTATGGAAGTGGCCAAGGGCTTCACTTCTCAATCTTGCCTTTAAAACCTGTGTGTGTTCACATGGTCCAGAATTGGAATATACCTGGAGTTGATAGGAAAAACGCTCCCTCCTGGCCTTGTCCCCAGTGCAGCCAGAAGTGCGTGTCCCAGGGAGCAGCCGGGGCTCCTCCCGGGCATTGTGCAGGTGGTCACTTGGATTTTTTCACTTAATGGTGTAACAAGGGACCCCCGTGCTAGAATATCCCGAATGCCCTCCTTTGTCCAGCTGTGTYGATGCTGTTGTAAGGACGTACGTTAGAGATGCTTCCTGCTCCGGTGCAGTTTGCAGATGGGACACCATCTGTGCGTAATTGTGGACCTCGGGTCTCTGTAGAGATCATAGTTAATTCCCATTTCCCCTGTGCGCTCAGTTTACCTAAGTGAAGTCTCATCAGTTTGATGTATGTTTCTTATTATATTTTTTCTTTGCAGGAAAAATGTTTTTGTCATTCTTTTGTTTTGGGCTTCTGGGTTTATGAAATTTTTTTAATTTACCTGTTTTCTTCTGAGATTAAGCTTTTTTGAATTGTACTTTTTATCTTTGATCCCAGTTAATTTTGGTCTAAGGAAGAAGGCAGGAATCCAGTCTCATCGTTCTCTGGCTGGCTGCTGGTGAGCCCAACACCACAGGCCAGCTGATCTGCCTTCCCCGAGCCCTGCCGTGCACCAGCATCCTCCAGGGGCCCTCTTGGCTACTTGGTCTTCTGTGGTTTTTAACAGTCTATTAGTAAATTGGTGGGTTGTTTGGGGATTCATTGGCCATTTCCGGAATGTTCTGTTAACCCCCTCAGAGGGTCAGCAGCATGCAGGTAGAGGCCTGAGCCAACAGCTCCTGTGGTTCCCACATTGCAGGCACATGCTGATCAAGAAGCTCAGTCAGCTCAGAGAGCAGGAGCCAGAGCTGGCCCAGCTGCTGGCCGACCAGGTGAGAGGAGCCGGGCCCGCCCAGGACAGCCCCTGCCCACCTGGGAGGTGGGAAACAGCTCTCTTGTCTTTGTTTTTTGGGTCCCCTGCCCAATGACATTTCCACCCTTGCCTTTCAGATCTATGACAACGCCATGATAGCAGCAGGGCTAGTAGACGACCCCAGGGCCATGGTTGGCCGCCTCAATGACCTTCTCGTCAAGGCCCTGGAGAGACGCTGATGACATGGTCCTCCCAGGTGACAAAGGAGATATGTGCCTGGGAAGTGTTCCCAAGCAGAGACAGTAAGGACAAGAGACCACCACCTTCTTGAGCTTTATTTACCTCCATTAAAGTATTTCTTAATCCACCTTTGGGCTGTCTAGGCTTTGAGATGTCCAGTGAGGTAGCTCCCTTGGCTGGAAGCTGCACAGCCATGCTACTCACTGACATCAGGCTCTTCTCAGCGTCACTTCCACTGGGTAGTGGTCACTGATGGCCTCAGCCTGAAGGGAGACACACAGGGCTTCGGGACTTAGCCCCACCCCTCCCCTGGAGGAAGCGCATCATCTACCCACCCCGAGCTGGCAGGGTGCACACTTACAAGCTTGTTGCTCAGGCCGTAGGCCACTTGGAAGTCATAAGGGACAGCCGAGTTGGGAACAATGGCAGCTTGGAGGAGAGCTCCAGAGACCACAATCCTGTGTGACACAGGACAGGAGGTGAAGGCTGGGCTTCAGAGGCTTGGTGATGCATTCTGAGGCTGGACGCCCATGATGTATCCTACTCACCTGTCGTAGGCACAGTGTGTGGACGTGACTGTGGTGTCCGCAGTGTCGGGAATGAGCCACTGGAAGGCAGGGTCTGTAYGCAGACGAATGGAGGACCATTGGGAGGGGGTCACATAGCTGCAGCCAGCATTGAAATCACCCATCAACATGATGTCCTGCGGGAGACACCTGCCTGTTGGCCCTGGGACTGATTGGGCTGCTAGAGCCCACTGCCCACAGGACGGACCATCTCACCTCCAGGCCCCACTTATGCCGGACATCCAGGTAGACGTCGTAGAGAGCATCAATCTCCGTCACTGCGTCGGCTGGGGCAGCATGCAGGGGCACGATGGCAAACTCCCTGACATCTGAGGAGACAGACACACTGAGCGCCTGGCAGGCAGAAGCAGGCTCAGCTGTTGGGATAAAGGACACACAATGGTGCCCCAGGGWGTGGACTTAAGGACAACAAGATCCCAACAGGTGTGGGGATGGCCTGGGTAGGGCTGAGGCTCAGCAATACTCACGTGTATATGGGGAGAAGAACTTGACAATGGCTGGTTCTCGACTGAAGGTGTCATTCCCACAGGGCTCACAGCCGTCATCATAGTAGTAGCTGTCCAACACGGACACTTGGTCAGGCCTGCGGGAGGGCCAGGCAGGAGGTAACCGTGGGGCTGGTGAACCAGCCGGCTCCTTCACATTATCTCAATGAACCTGCTTCCTGGGGCAGCAGAAGGGACCAGGTCTCACTAGCACTGGCACTAGCAGGTGGCCCTGGGGAGGAGCAGGTGCCAGCCACCGGCTCACTCGGGCTGGAGGCAGGGGTGGTCGCCACCTCCTGGCGTGCTCTCTTTTTGGGTTCTTGTCCCTCCCACTTTCCTAGGATCCTCCCAGGAGAGGGAGGGGCTTACTGGACTCTGGACTACCCCTGACCCTTGCACGGTGCCCTGTAGGTACAGACGGGGTCCTCACGTCCTGGTCCTGGCAGTCACAGACTGCACTGGCCCAGGTTTTACCTGTACACGAAAAGGTACTGCTCCTTATAGCTACTGCGTCCCAGAGGCTCGCTGACCACATAGTGGTAATTGTCCGGTGCATCTCTGGATGGGGGAAACAAAGGTCCATCAGGGCCTCAGCAGGGCTCTGCCTCCTGTCCCTGGGACCAGAATGAAGTGAGGCTGTACCATGGAAGTGGTCTCTTCTCCCAGAACCCTACCACTGTCACCCACCGATTAAGTTCATCCAGCAGTTTCCCCACAGCTGTCAGGTAGGTGTCTCTGACCTCCTGGATAAGAGCAATGTCGTAGCGACTCAGGATCTAGGGGACAGGGCCGCACGGGTACTGAGCAGGAGCTGGGTGGTGACTCCAGCCCTTAGCTGCCTGGGGCATCGGGTCCTGCCCATCTCAAGGGTCACAGCCAGAGCCATGGCTGCTCCTTGGGACATTCTTCATGGTGCAGCAGGCCCTGTCTTCACCTTGCCTGGGTCCTGGGGCTTTCATTGCCCCACGGAGCTGCCCTGCCCAAACCACTGGCCCTGTGTTCATGGGGCTGTGACACCCTCCCCCTGAGGTCTGCACTCAGGAGCAGGCCACCAAGACTTACCTGCACAATGTAGCTAGAGAGGGTTGCATTGGACATCTTGGTCTCCCCAAAACTCCGTATGTTGAAGGCTGCAATTCTCAGAGATGTGACCACATGCTGCAGGCTGGCCAGGGCAAGCAGCACTATCATAGGCCTTGTGCCCCTCATCCTGGGAGAACCTGTTATAGGGAACAGTGGGACATCGCCTGTCGTCCTCGCCCCCGCCTCCCCAAGGTCAAGGGCATCTGCCCTCATGGCTGTACTACAAGAAGAGCACAGGCCGGGGAGACCCTCAGTGCTTTCACCACATATCCAGAGGGACAAGCACCCAGTGCCACAGAAGTCCCTGGTTTTCCTCCTTCACCCACCAGGGGAAACAAGCCCCAGAAACATGCCATCCTGAGCCACTGGGGCCACCAGAGCCTGCACTTGCCAAGCAGACCCTGTTCTGTTGGTGGGACACAGCTGAGCCTGCCCTCCCTGCTCAGGGACTGGCTGGTCACCTAGGACTCCACAGATGACCAAGCCTAACACTCACCCAAGGTGATGTCTGCAGAGATGATGGGATTTCTGCTAAGAATTTGGAATATTCTTTGGTGATAATTTTCTCCTTTTGCTGCTTTAAGAAAAAGTTAATTTCCAGAGGGAGCTCTTGGAAGAAACGACACAGTGAGGACTTGCAGATCTGCCAGGGCTCCTTCTCTGTCCAGACACTGCTGGTCCCAGCCAGGGTTTTAAGGGTTCGGGCAGCAAGACCGCCCCCAGGGCACGAGTGCGCCTGCACCTGAGCAGAACAATGGCACACCTGTGTGGCCCTTGACAGACCGGCTCCATCATGGAGTGAACACAGCAGCTGATAATGATGTTGGCACTTGGCTGTAAAGTATCTAGTAAATGTCCTTTGCCCACCAGGGATGGGCACGGGTGTGTGCTGGAGGGCAGGGCTGCTCTCAGCCTCAGATCTAGGATCCTGGAGGTCACCTTGGAGCCAAGGCCAAAGCCAGGAACACAGCTGCACATTGCCAGTGGAGCACCACCACTCTGGCCCAGGACCTTCAGGGCACCCCAGTTCCTCCCAATTCATCAGCCGTGATAGGCGGCAGACTGGCAGCTGAGCAGGAGCAGGGCTGTGAATGGGGGTGCAGGCTGTGGCATGACAGCATCACTGGGTAAGGGTGAGGACTGCAAGGCCAGGCAGCAGGGAGCTTTCTGAAACAGATGAGAGGCTTAAGCCTCAGGGACCTTCAGTGAAGAGGTCACAAGGCCACACCTTGGTCCAGTCATTTCAGAATCCTTGGCCTTCCCATGAGTGTTCATGTCCTGAGGCTACAGCAACAAGTCACAGATTCTGTGGCTTAAGACAATAGGAATTGATCCTCTCACCGTTCTGGAGGCCTAGAATCAGCATGGCCATGGGTGCTGCTCTAGGGGAGGATCCTCCTCTAGGCTAGCTCCACTCTGCCTCTGTGATTATGTGGCCTGTCAATCTGTCAATTCTCCTTCTAGAAAGATAACCATGGTTGCATTTGGGGCCCTCCCAGGTCAGCTGGATAATGTCCCCACCTCACCATCCTTAGTCTCATCTGTGAAGTCCTCTTGCCACATAAGCTTAGGACATGGGTATTTCTTAGGGCCCGTGCTCAGGCAGTCCATCTAAGGGGGCTCTGCCCCATATGGGAAGAGCTATTGCGTCTCCAAGGACAACCATGTGGGAGGCCTTGGTCTCTCCTTGGGAGGTGGGAGGGCCTGGCAGAAATTGTTGGACCAAGGCTCAAGAACCTTGGGGGAGGGGGTGCTATGGGAGATCAGGGAGCAGGGTGGCCTCCAGGGCAGGAGTCAGTAGGGGCTAAGGTCAGTCAGGAAACTACAGATCTGGCCTGCTGGCCAGGAACCAAGTGCAGGCCCAGTGAGGGTTAACAGAGGGTAAACCTGAACTTTAAGGAATCAAAGGGCACTGAGAAGTGCCTCTGGCCATCAGCAAAGGTTCACTGGACTTTGTTATGGCACCTGAGAGATGGAGTCACCAACTTGCTCCAGCTTCCAGAAGCCCCATCAGACTTTTTCAAAGGTCTGGTTGCTGGGTTTTCCCTATTTTTAATCTCAGGAGCAGGCTTAGCAAGTCACTGTGCTCCACAGAGATGACTTGCTTAGCTTCCAGGTGGATGCAGGGCACCGATTACCATTGACACAGTGTGTCAGAGGTCTAGCTCGGGTTTGCAGCACAGTGGACAAGGGTGCCTGGGGGCCTCTCATCCTTTCCCTACTCTTGGGAGCTCCCAAGCACCATCCTCACCCTCCTCCTACCCACCAAGAAGGTTGGGAGTCAGGCCTTGTACAAACGACTGGGCCCTGGACTCCCACTGTATGTAACAGCCTTCAGAACAGGGGCTCCTATTCTATGTGAGCCCCCAGCTCAGTGTGAGCCCCCAGCTCAGCACTGGTGGTCCCAACCATCAGAAGGGGTGGGACCACCTCCACTGCTGTCCTGAGGTTTAAGTAGCAGTAGACACAACACCATTCCACAGAATCACTGCAGCTCTTCAAAAAGTCCCCTGCTCCCTGAGGACAGGCCCTCTCAAATGCTGTACCACCATTGATCTTACCTTTCCCTTCTGGGTATTTCTATTTGTTTCAGCCAGTTGTTGCTGTGTAACAAGCTGCCCCAAAACGAGTGTGCACAGCCAGGCATAACAGTGCATGCTGGCAACCTCAGCAACCTGGGAGCTGAGGCAAATTCAAGGTCAGCCTGAGCAATTTAGTGAGACCCCATCTCAAATTTTTTAAAAAGGGTTGGGGATATAAGTGCCCCTTGGTTCAACCCCAGTATTGGGGGGAACAAACACAAGTGTCTGTTCACAGCATGCATTTCCTTTCCTGTGTGCAGATCTGCAGACCAGCTGGGACGGCGCTGGGGCTGCTGGGGCTGGGCTGGAAGGTCCCAAGGGGCAAGCAGGGTATCTGACACCCCTTGAGGCCTAGGCTTGGACTCTGTGCTGTCCCTTCTGCCCACTCTTTTGGCCCTAGCAGGCCAGTAGGCCAAGCCAAGGTGAGCGGAAAGGAGTGAGGTACACTCTTCTCATGGCCCCTACTTTGCAGATGCAGAGATGGGCACCAGGGAAGAGAGGCATGGCATTCCTGGCATCTCCAGTCCTATCAGCTAGGATGTGTGTGCCGAGAGCCAATGCCCACAGCTGGGAAGCTGGCCCCTTTTTTGCGTCAGGGTGAGCAGTTTTTACATCAGCCACGAGGATCTGCAGCTTTCTCCTGTCTCCTCCACAGAAACACAAAGGGAAGCAGCTCATGACAGTGGTCTCAAGTATGAACCAAGTCACAGGATAAAGAAAATCCCACAAACACCGCAGTCAGGAACAAAGTGTAAAGAAAATCCTATAAACACCACAATCAGGAACAAAGTGTTATGGGCCAGACTTTATGGGCAATGACCAAACAGACTCCATTTTGCCCTGAGACTCCACATCATGTAGGAAATGCTCCTCCCATAGGAATACCTGCCTCTGTGCCCATCAAACAGCATAGCATGTTTGGCGACACAAAATGGCAATTCTTTTTTTTTTTTTTTAATATTTTTTAGTGGTAGTTGGACACCTTTATTTATTTATTTTTATGTGGTGCTGAGGATCAAACCCAGGGCCTCACGCATGCTAAAGCACTTTGCCACTGAGCTACAGCCCCAGCCCACAAAATGGCAATTCTTATACAATGTAAAATTATTCTCTTTGGTTCGCATTTTTCTTGGACAATGTACCCTGTCAGATTGGTTGTCTAGATGTTAGTAACCATTCTTTAACTTGTACCAAATGAGGATCATTTTGACCTACTTCCCCTTCTGCTTATGATCTCCTGATGTTTGCTTATGGTCTTGAATCAGCAACAGCCACTTATGATTAATGTGGTTTTGGACTGTAAAGGTGTGCTCTAACCCCAGGAGGGAGTTGAAGGGTGTAGACTTGCAGCCTGCCCCTTGACCCGCCAGCTGGTGGATCCTAACCACAGGCTGCTGAATAAAGATGGTTCCATGCCCTGCTTTAAGATCTACTCAGTGATTTAATGCAATCTAGCCATAATAAAAGGACCTCAAAGGGACATGTGCAGTGGCACAGGCCACACAGGGGTCAAGGCAAGGTGCAAGGAGCTGTGCGAAGGCACCCTCAGATCAGGCGTGTGCTGCTCAGGGAAGTCCACGGTCCTGAAGCTGCATCCCACTTTATTCCTTTCTATGCTATCCAGTATCTGCAGCGCTAGCTTGGAACCCAGGCACACCCCCTTCCTGGCCCAATGCAGTGACCCCACCACGTGCAGATGCCAAAATTCCTGAGAGCACTCCAGGTCCTTGCCATCCCCTACCCTCCCCCAAACATCCAGAGTGCATTTCTCTCCAATCTGCAGCCACCACACTGGCCCGCTCACCACTGTTGTGTGGCCTCTCAGCTTCCAGAAACACCTCCATGGTCCACCCGGTCCCAGAACATCTCCTAAGTGTGTAATCAGATCACATAACACGTTATTCCTCTGCTTGGAATCTGTCACCAATTTCTCATTGTCCTTAAGGAGAAATCAATGCTTACCATAACCTAAACAATTCCAGCTCAGAGCTTCTGCTCACCTGAGCAGCTGGGGCCTTCTATTATGTCATCCCAGTTTCAGCTTAAATGTCACCTCTTCCAGAGAGGCCATTCCCTCCCTGCCCACAGGGCCCCTGTTGCTCAGTGGTTGTAACATGCTCCTCATTCACACTCCCAGATGGCCGACTTCTCAAGCAGAAAGCTCTGCGGCAGAGACCCTGGCTCTCTGTCCATGGAAGGTCCCTGGTGCACACGGCAACACCTGGAAGGCACAGGGCACCCACAGCTAAGCTGTGCTCAGCTTTCCTGCTCCTCCTGGCTGAGAGAATGTCCCTTCCTCCAGGACCCTCCAGAGAAAAGCCTGTCCTCAGAGACACTGGGCACAGGGGACACTGTGGGCATCCAAGGCATAGCTCCCTTCAGTGGGCTAGACGTACCTCAGGAGGCACGTGTGCTGCCCCCTCACCCCGTCTCGTCAGCCCATCTTGGAGGACAAAGGCCCTGTCTTTGCCATGTCACTGTAATCCCTGAGGAGGTCACAGGCTTCGCTCAGCACAGTGTGCTGCCCTTGGCCCGTGACTGGCCTGCACTTGCCAGCCCAAGTTCATTTCTGCTCATTTCCACCCAGGGTGGAAAATTCCTCAGAACAACACACATGAAATGCCAAGACTCGTGACCTCCGCTCTGTCATGCTCGGTCAGTCATGCCAAACCCAGTGCGTTAGGGGGCAGATGGCATCTGGAGGCCAGGAGCCAGCACTCCCAGGAGGGCTCTGCCAGCCTGAGCACACCACTATTCTGCACCCTGGTTTCAGGAAAACACAAAAACAGGTCGTCTGCCTAAAAGCCACATTCTAAAGCCCATGCTGGGTGTGTGGGTACCCCTGCAGCACATGCCTCTGGGGCGCCAGCCACAAGCTGCACTTCCTGGGCATGCAGCAGGGCCCCAAGTGCTACCATGAAAATGCCTCTCAAATCCCCTAGTTCCAAAGCCACTTTAGCCTCCCACAGGCACAAGGAGCGCTCTGGGCAGCTCCGTGTGTCCATCCTGGGGCTGGAGCTATGGAGAGGTACACAGGTCCAGGGTCCCAAGGCTCAGGCCGTGTGTTTTCCACTGACCTCCCCTCAGCTCCCTAGTCCTGCTCTGCTGACACAGCCACCCGAAGGTAGACTCCAGCCACAACCCTCTCCTCATCTTCCTCTGGGAATTCCAACGCCCCTGAACTCCCCTCACCCCGTCTCTTCAGGGGTCAGCCACAGCTGTCCCCAAGCCCATCTGTGAGTCATCTTCCCATGCTCCCATTTCCTAGTGTGCCTCGTCACTTTCGACTAAGAATTAGCCACTGTGACAGAAGGGAGCGTCTGGGTGTGTCCCCTCCACGGAAGACTTACCTCCTTGGAGGGCCAGAGGAACAGCCTACTGGGGGGGCACTCAGGGACCTTGTGAAGACCAACTGCCCTGCGGCCTGCTCACTTCCACGTGCCCCACACCTGTCCTGACCAAAAGCCTGCGTTCTATCTTAGGCCCTTCCTCCTGACAGGCCTGACCTCTTCCAGATTCTCCACTTCCAGATTCTCTTCCTGGTGCTTGGGATTGGTCTCTTCTCTGGCCTCCTCCTCCTTGGGGATCCTGGCCCTGGGGTACTGCTGCTCAGCAGGGGCCCACCCTGGGATACTGCCTACAGCCCTCAGCTTCACGCCTCAGCATCTTGCCTGGCCAGGGCCCTGGRGGGAAAGACCCCGCACAGGAGCCTTCCTGTGACTGGGGTGGCTGTCCTGTGTTGGAGCCTCGCGTTCTTGGCAGCACTAGTCTGCCGCAGGCTGCTCCATGGGAGCAGCTAATCTGGGAGCAGCACCCTGAGTCACTTGAGATGGGCTGACACCAGTGGGGCTGGTCCAACCAGTAGCCGTTAAACAGCTCCAGTTACGGATGTCCTGTCTAGAGTGCACCAGATGAGGGAGAATCAAAATGGACACAAGCCCATTTTGTGGGGCAGTCAGGGACTGAGCTGTCACCTTTCTGGGACAGTGGCCTCTGCATTCTTGGCAGCCTCCTCCTAACAAGGATGGCATGTGCCGGGAGCTGGTTAGTCCTCCCACCAGAAGCTGCCCGTTGGCTCCTGAAGTGAGCAAGAGGGCCTGTGCTTGTCCTCGGGCCTCCTCCTGGACACAAGTGCAGGTGTGAAGACAGCTTCTGCCCTCTTGGTCTTCTGAGGGCTGCACGTCCCGCTGCAGCCTCCTGCCAGGGCGGCTGCTCCTACCCAGCTTCTGCTCTCCCAGGCACCTCAGGATCTCAGCACAGGACACTGGGGCAATGTGGCACTGCCAGGGCAGCCCAGCTCCAGTTGTGAGGAGGCCATGGTGCCGAGCTCACCCAGGTCTTTCCCCCACCTGCGCTGCCCAGGAGAAGTCATGTGCTGTTACATTCTCCACAACTGACCTCTCCTGTGGGAGCAGGGACATGTGCAGGAAGCACACTTGTTTTCCCTGAGAGCCAGGGGACTCAGCAGTGTGGGGAGCCAATGCTCAGGGAAAGGCCTTGCCCCATGGTGGCCTCTAGGACACATGCCTTCTGAGGCTGCAGTTAGTACACCATGCTCCCTCCTGTCCCAATCCCCAACTGGCATGAGGGGCTCCCCAAGGCCCTCCCTCCATTCCCACCTTAGCACAGGCACCAGTCCAGGGCAGGGCCTGAAGCACAGAGGCCTGGCTGTGGAAAGGGAAAGGTGACCGAGGGGAAAATGTAGCAGCCAGACATCTGCCTCACTGGGCCCTGGAGCAGCACCATTCCCAGAGTCCCCTCACTTTGGGAAGGTGACTTCCTAGGCTCCCTCTCCTGGACATGCAGGGAAGCACAGGTGTCCACCGGGGTGAGCACTTCTCCCTGCGTCCCTGTTCAGAGTTCCAGCATGTGCCACCACCACCAGCACCCTGCCTTGAGTGAGCCGGGTGCAGTGGTGCATGCCTGTCATCCTAGTGACTCGGGAGGCTGACACAGGAAGATCATGTGTTCAAAACCAGCCTCAGCAAAGGTGAGGTGATAAACAACTCAGTGAGACCCTTTCTCTAAATACAATACAAAACAGGGCTGGGGCTGGGGGCTCGGTGGTCAAGGGCCCCAGAGTTCAATCCCTGGTACCAAAATAAGCTCCTAAATGATCGGGCTCTTTCCTCACTTGGGCTCTGTGAGGAGGCACTGAGGGGCTTTAGGTCACCAATGACATAGCTGTGGGACACTGGAGAAGTGCAAGCTTGCTGGGGTGGCAGATTCCAGCTGCCTCCTGGCTACCACTCAAAGCCTCTGCCATCTTGCTGCTCCCATTCCCAGGTGGCTGGATCCTAAGGAAGGGAAGAGGGGTGTTGACATGGCCAGCTTGGCAAGTGGGTGCCACCTGTTTAAGTTCCTGACAGGCTTAAAGTGGGACAACAGGGACCCCTGAACACATGGACAACACAGATGAGGATTTGCGGGTAGAGAAGAGGACACTGGCCAGAGGGTCCCCTGGGGCCTGCAGCTGGGGGGGGCGGGAGGACCCAAGGGAAAGGACCCTGCAGGGAGTAGACTAAGAGTCCCCAGAACCCACGTGGGGATGGAGACTTGGTTTCCACAAGCCACGGTTCCTAACTCACAGGAGACTGGTAGAACCTCAGAGGAGCATGGCCCTTGATAACAAAAAGTTAAAGCTGGACTAAAGGCAGCTGTGAGCAAAGCCCAGAAGCACACCTCCAAAGACCCCCGAGTTGAACGGGCTTTGCTAAATCCTAACTCAACACTGCTGAAGGAGATATAGAACCTCAGAGCCAGCGATTTAAAATCCACAATATCTTCAATCCAGGTCTGTCCATGGGTCCAACGTGGAGACAAGGGCCGTTCAGTACAGAAAACAATTAATTACTTACAGAAATTAACTAGGAACCAACAAAAGAGAACTCCACAGAACCCCTAGGGTAGAGAGGTACCAAGGGAAGGATCCAGACCTGGGGAGGGTGTGTCACAGGTACCCCGCCATGGTGTCCCAGGCCAAGGGTTGAGAACCCCTGGGGGTGCTGAACCCAGCTGTCAGGCTCTCTGTGGAAGGGCTGGGAAGACCCGAGGTGAGGGTGCTGTGTGGGGTCCAGCTTCACGTGTGCAGCCATCTTGGTGGTAGCCTCCATCTTGCCACCAGGAGACCCTGGCACGAGTCGCAACCCCTAAAGGGCAAAGAGATCATTAAAACAATCACCTGAGTGGGCTGTGCCCTTGACCCATGCTTGGACTGCTCCTTGACTGTGTGGGCATGTTCAGAGTTCATGGGAAAGGCTGAGTGCATTCCAGATGGCACAGCCCATCTCTGTCCAGCTCAGCATGAAAGCCCGTCTTCCTGCCGCCACCACCCAAGACACCTTCAGTCCTCTAGTCCCCAGGAGACTGCAGTCGGTGCATTACTGGATCTGTCGTCCTCTTACTTTGGTCTGTGACCCCTTCCACCTTTGGCAGCCGGTTCTCAAACACTGGGACTGGCTTTTTCTAAAGCACAAACTCACCAGAAAGTAGCCAGGAGCCAGCTGGGGCCACAGAACCTGCCTAAGGTGCCCAAGTATCCCACAGGCCAGCCTGTCACAGAACAAGCATAAGCAGAACAGCAGCACAGAGGATGCTCCTCCAGCCCCAGCAGATCAGCAGGCAGCAAGGGAGGAGGGTGTCACCCGCAGCAACCACAGCGGCCTTGAGTGGAGGTGACACACCAAGTCTGCTGTAACAGACCTCAGACAAGGGGATGCCAGCACACAGCCACTGCCTTAGCAGCTAAGTTGCTAAGACTGGCCTCAAACTCCTGAACCTCCCCAGTCTCTGGGGTTACTGGCTGTGCCACTGGGTCTAGCAAAGAAAATAAAATCTTAAAAATGGCCCTGCTAAAAAGCACACTACGGCCAGGCACATGGTGCACACCTGTAATCCCAGAGACTCAGAAGGCCACACGTTCACGGCTAGCCTCAGCAACTTAGTGAGGCCCTGTCTCAAAAAAAAAAAAAAAAAAAAGTATACTATTTACTGAGGAGGGTTGCAGTGCAGCTTAGGGCACAGGACTTATCTAGCATGCAGGAGGCCCTGGGCTCCACCTACTGTACTGCAAATCATTAAAAAGAAGCAAGCCAGCCAGCCGGGTGTGCATACCTGTAATCCCAGCTACTTGGGAGGCTGAGGCAGGAGGATGGAAAGCTTGAGACCAGTCTCAGTATCTTAGTGAGACTCTGTCTCAAAATAAGAGAGGAGGCTGAGGATGTAGCTCAGTGCTAGAGCAGCCCTGGGTTCGATCCCCAGTACCACCAAATAAAAATATAAATGCTCTACCAGGTTCATCTCTACATACACTTCTTGCCTTTCCTGACCAACTGTTTCCCTGCTATAAAGGTGTTTGTGAATCCTCAACCCCCCACCCCAGCTACAGACCCAGGAGAGCGAATCATTAGCCTGGGGGGATACGGGGGTCCTATTCAGAACCGGGCAAACAGAGCCTCTGAGTGCCCCTGGTTCAGTCCCCAGTACAACTGGAAAAAAAAAAAGGGGGGGRAAAGTAAAATTACTACAACTAAAAAAACTGAGAAGACAATTATTTGCTTACTCAATCTGCACTCTCCCTGACCCCTGCCCAGATAAACGAGGAGGAGCTGGACAGGTTTTGGCTTTGCAGAACTGAGACAAGTGCTTTCACTTCTACCACAGGACTGCTTTAAACATCAACTCAGTGGAAGAAGCCAAACGTTTTCTAAAAGTAATTATTCCAGGACGGTTAGGCTGTGATAATCAGAGCATTCAACCTCTTTGCTTTTTCCCCTGGACTCAAAAAATTACCTAGTCCAGTAGGCTAGAAAAACGGAGCCCACGCCTGGAACAACAGGCTTCTCCCACACACTTCTGCATCCATCCAAGGTCAAGCCTCACTTTTTAATACTTGAAGTGCCCCTTAACCTCCCTGGGTTATGGGTTTTGCAAAGCACGAAACATACAGTAATATTCTCATGGAAATAACACAGACCCAGTATCAGTTTCTGGACACTGTCTCTCAGCTTAGTCACAGTGGATGACTTCTGCCTAATCCCAGTGCCTCTGCTGGAGATTTATCCCAACAGGATCTTGATCAATAGGCTCACATCCTTCACCCTGGGTCAAAGAGAAAGCTGTCTCAGTTAGGGATAACTCCGCTTCTCAAAGGATTAGGCCTAAAATTAAATTCCAGTTGTCCTTTTCCTAGAGACTTTTGGCATGTCTTTCAGCTTCCAGGATCTACTCAGCATCTGTGGTTAAACACAGTGCTTCCTAATCTAGAGGCCACCAGAATCATCTGAGAACAGGGCTCTTCCCTCAAGGTTTCTCAAGCATAAGGATAGTGACCACCCATTTCCAGTGCAGAAAATCACATGGTGATTCAGTTGAGAATCCCAAGTTTAAAGCACTCTCTTCTTTAAGCCACACTTTGATCCATTTTACTTAAATAGATGGGTTTAGGGAGGGGAGGTAGAAAGGGTTTTCTTCACCTGGCTTCCAAGAGAGTTAAATCCCCAAAGCAAATGAGGTACTTCATTTCTAATCTGATTGGAGGAAAAAAATACTGACTTTCCCATTGTCCCAGCCATGTCCAGATATACAAGTCATTTTTAAAATTTTTCTGTATCTTATGATATTTAATCTTGCTGTTGGGAAAACACCGCCTCTCTCAGGACTAGCTAATTCCTAGGGAGTACAAAACTTAACTAGGGAGTGTAGACTCATAGGTAAGCCACTACCCTCTTTATCTAACTCACACACCATTATTTTCCTTCCTCTAAACCATCCCACGGCCAGGTACCAAACATCTGGGGAACAACACTATCTAGCCCAAAGCCCCTGGAATTATTTATTCATAAAATGTATCTCATATATATTTGCACATATTTAGTTACATAGACGGACACAATACATTTTTTTAGGTTTTTTTTTTTTTTTTTTAAGATGGACAAATCATCTTTATATTTATGTGGTGCTGAGGATCGAACCCAGTGCCTCACATGTGCTTGGCAAGCGCTCTACCCCTGAGTCTCAACTTATTAAAATCAGCCAATCCTATATGTCCACTCTGTCCCAGGTGCCTTTCCTGCCAAGGCCCCATGAAAGTGCTCACCTAGGCTTCCCTTTGCTCCTGCTTCCTCCTAAGCAAACCCTGGGGCTTCCCCTGTGGCCCTGACTGGTTTGGCATGCTCCCTCTTCTAGAGAAACTACTCAGTTCCTCTTTTGATGGCACTGACCTCTACACATTGTCAGGCAGGCATCTCCATAGGCTAAACCTCCAGACAACCCATGTTTCCCTGCTGCCTTCCAGGCTTGTCCTATCTACTTAACTAGTCCAGTTGGGAACCATACTACAAACTAAGAATTCCAAACCCAGAGACCAAGTAATACCTCCTAGCTCAATCACACAGAAAAAAATCTTGGAATTTCTCTACCATTTGAAATTCAACAGTCAGAGCTAGGGTTGGGGATGTAGCTAAGTGATAGAATGTGTGTTTAGTATGCAGGAGGCACTGAGTCTGCACCCCCACAAACACAAAACTAAATGTTACCCAAAAAAATCCAGAAGTAGTTTTACCCAAGTAATGCCACTTCTAGAACACAAAATCTTGCAGCATTATTTAGAGTAACCAAAAAAAAAAAAAAAAAAAAGGAAGCACCCATAAGTCAATTAACTGATTAACAAAATGTGGTGTATACCTACAGGGAATGTTTATTCAGTCACAAAAAGTAATGAAGTGCTAAGTCAGCTACACCATGGATGAACCTTGATTAGTAAAAGCCAGACAGAAAACTCCTGGTTTTACGATTCAGGGGAGACGGAACACGAGGAAACGGGGAGGGAGAGCAGTTTCCACCTGGGGTCATTAGAGGAGCAATGGAAGCACAATCTTGTGACTGAAAAACCACGGAATCGCACAGGTTCAAGGGGTGACTTTTACATTATGAGCATCACATGTTTAAAAAAACAGCAAACATTATCTTTCCTCAAACCTACTCCTTCGCCTTGAGCGGTCACTCGTACAGCGCCTGGGATCCCACTTAACTCAGATGCTCGGCCAGAAAGTAACCGACGGCGACCGGGCCGGGCCGCTCCAAGCCCTTGGCACCGGCCCTTCGCGCCCCGCGCCTCCCCTCCTCTGAGCGCGGCGGTCCGCACGGCCGCCCAGGCCTCGGGCTGCAGCGGGGCCCCTACGCGGGCCTCGACGTCCCCCCAGGTCCTGCCGGCGCAACAGGTTGGGGCTCGGGGCCACTCTGGGCGAGGCTCCCGCCCGCGCCACCGCCTTTCCCCGCGCTCACGCTCCGCGGCAGGTGCTGCGACGGGGCCGCGGCTGCACCCGTAAGCGTCCCCGAAAAACCACGACGCGTGGGGCGCACCCGGCTTCTGCCCCGACCCTGAGCCGCCTTCCTCGGAGCGATACAGCCGCTTCTCGCCCCGCCCACTCGTCCTGCCCCACGCCGTAGCGCGCCCCCGAGGCCGCAAAGGAAGTCGGGAAGACCTCCCTCCACATCCCTGACGCGACCGCTCTGCGCCTGCGCACAAGCCGTGCTCCGTGGGACGCCGGGGGGCGCATGCGCCAGCGCAAGGCTCTCGGTTGAGAAGGTGCCGCGGCGGCGCCGGAGGTAGGAGGAGCCGGCTTCGGGGCTGGGAGTCCGCGCCCGGGAGGAGGAAGGCCTCTCCCCTCTAGCCGTTCCCGCTCTTCTGCGGGCCGATCTGTACTCACCCGCCTCTGGTGGACCTCCTAGCCTCGGCAGGGCCGCATTCGGGGCCCAGAGGCCGGAGCCGCGCCTGCTGTACGGGGGCCGCTCGGAGGGAGGCGGGGCGGGAGGTTGCGGCCAGCGATCGGAGTCCTTCTCTGGCCTTAGGGCTCTCAGGGCCCTTAGCATCTCTTCCCCAGACGGACCCCCAGCCCCTGCCTGTAGTGGCCGGGATGGGGAGGTGTCCCCCCGCCCCGACTCATTCATTCTTCCCGCGCCTGCTGGGAGCGCGCCCGCAGAGCGCCCTGTCCGTTTGTCATCCGGCAGGTAGTGACTGCGCACCCACCGGGGACCGACCGCCTTGACAATCACCGACCGAGGCGTGGGGGCTCCTCACTGTGGCGTGTGGAATTTGGTCTAGCCGCCCCCACCCCGACAAGACGAAATCAGTTTGCTTTAGCCTGATGTTACGCGCTCTCCTGAACCGATCTTTGCTGCTCCCTGCAGACCTTCTCCCTACCACTTCCTTCACTTCGATTGTATCAAACTCTCTGCAGTTCATGATCAACAAATGGTTGTTGAGCACCTTTTTACAGGTCAGGTGCTGGATCAGCCAGAAAGAATTCACTGTGCCCTCTTGAAGTGTTGAACTTAAGTTGGGGACAGATAAGTCTATGAATAAAACATAAGAGTGATACTCTGGAACCACACTGCTTGAGTCTGATCTCTGCCTCGACACTTGAAAAGCTGTATGACTCGAGCTAGTTCCCTATTCAGCTTGTGCATAGGTCCTTGCTGTAAAGAAAAGATGATGGTTGATTTTCTTGTTTTGAGTTGTAAGGATTAAATGAGTTAAAGACTTGAAAAGCAATTGGAACAGTCTGGCACACAGTAAGCACTCAATAAAGGTTTTTCATTGTATGTGACTATAACCTTGATAAGTGCCATTTTGAAAACCATGTGTGACAATACATGGAGAGTGTTCACTTAAACATCAAAGGAAGCTGCTCTGAGGAGATAACAGGGAAGATGAGACTCAGTCAGCTGCCATACAAAGGAGATTCTGGGCAGCTTTATCTACCCAGTTCTGGAAAACTAAATGATTAATTAGACTGGGCATTGGAGATTTTGTTGAATTCGAAATGAAGGACTTTGCCATCTGATAATTCAGTTTTGATTTTTGAACCACACTAAATAGTGTGCTGAAGTAAATAATAATGCCCTTTGGTTCAACTTTTGCATATAAGCAGTATTCTGGTTCTCTGGGTTTGGAGAGCTCTTGTGGGCTGAGAAGGTAGAGAAGTGGCCTTTTCTCTCCTACATGTTTGGGGTTATATGCTTTTTCTTTTATGCAGTATTTATTCATGGAGCCTCAAGCCATTAATAAATCTGATAGTTTTAGGCCTGTGTAGGGAGATAGGTTCCCTAGGTTTGGGCTTACCCAATTTCTTTGGTAACTGCCCTTTGTAGGGTTCTCCAAATTTCAGTAAAAGCAAAGCTCTCCTAAGATGCACATATTTTTTCCTGCCTATGGAAGACTGCATTGGCAGGTTTCTAGATACCCTGATGTGTTGTGATGTCCTGTGGGATGATTATACTATGTTAATAAGGCCATACAGAGCATTTGTAGAATGTTATTACTCTGAAGACTTCCCACACCCTGCATGGTTTTTACCTTCCTGGAAGAAATGACATTTGATGGTAATGTTTGTTGAATTACAGTTCTGCTTTTGGTTTTCCACAGATATGAAATCAAACCAACCCATGTGCTTCATTATCATGGAGATCTTGGAGATTCACCTGAGCATGGAGTTCATGTGTGTTTTATGTCAGAGGCCTCTGTTGGACAGCAGAATATTTTCTCAGCTGTGAACTTTAGCAGAAGGAAGCTTTAAATATGTGGTTTAACCATGGGCCCAATTTGAAGAAAGATATTTAAATCATTATGGAGAGGAAAACAATACTTTTTGCTCAGTTGTGCACTCTCCATGGGACTTGGTGAGTCGAGGAAGAAGCTGGTGGAGCTGAAAGTGTGACTGAAGCTGGGCTTGTAGGCAGCCTCTCTCTCTCTTACTGTGGAAATGCCCTCAGATCAGTCCTTACTCCCCTGAAGACCCGTCCCAAAGCCTTAAAACTCAAAACTGGTCAGATGATGGATGAGTCAGATGATGATTTTAAAGAACTCTGTGCCAACTTTTTCCAAAGGGTAAAAAAAAATGGGACCAAGGAAGTGTCAGGAGAAAAGAAGACCCAGAAGGCCTCAAACAGCACTCAGATCAGAAACAAACTGAAAAAAAACAAACAATCCACCACCAAGAGCAAAACACTTCTTGGCCCTGCAGGGAAGAAACCTAAATTAGGCAGCGAGGACCCTAGCACTAAAAAGCCAGAGGCAACCAAGTTGCAAGAAAATGAACAAGCTCTCTCTGTGAATGGGGAGGGAGGAGTGCTTGCTCCTGCTCTGAATCAGCCCAACCTCTGCGAAAGAGCACAGAGCATCCAGACAGGTAACCAGGCAAGAACCGTGGCCACACCTTTCAGAGAGGACCACATAAATTATTTGCACTATCTCCAACCATGGGTTGGAAAACTTTCTGAAAAAGGCAAAAGACAGTAATATTTTGATTTTGTGGGCCCTACAATCGGTTAGAACTGTCATTGGCCCTCCCTATAGGTGGGATACAAATCTGAAGATTCAGCCAGCTTCAGATAGCAAATATTTGAGGAAAAACAACTGCATCTGTACTGAGCAAGTACAGACTTATTTTCTTATTATTTACTAAACAATACTGTGTAACAATTACCTAACACATTATATTAAGTGTCATAAGTCATCTAGATATGACTTAAAGGTCCTTTGCAAATATTGTACTATTTTATATAAGGGACTCAAACATCTGCACATTTTTGTATTTGTAGGGGGTCCTGGAACCAGTTCCCTAGAGGCATGACTGTACCCAACTCTGAATCTATAGTGTGAAAGCAGCCATAGACCATATGGAAATCAGTGGGTGTGGCCATGTGCCAATAAAACTTCATGTACAAAAACAGGCAGCCAGCCCCAGGCCCAGAGTTTGCCAACTTATAAACTGTAACTATAGAAAACATGAGCCCTTTGTGAATCTCCCATGCAATTCTCTTTGGAGCCCTCTGCTCTTTGAGAATTGCTCATGAATGTTTATGTTACATAGCTAACGGGAGTTACACAACCTGAAAATAATGCTGTGATTTTCTTGAATTCATTCCAGTGTGGGTAAGTTGGAATGGCCAGCCAATTTGTTTAGGTTGCTGAGAAGGCTGAGGAAGTTGTGCTGAGTCTAGATCCCAGGAGCATCTTCAGGTCTTAACTCTTCTCCAAAGACCTTTAATTATTTTTTTCCTTTTCTCTTCGTTTGAGGTAGCCATTCTCTCCTGCTGCCCTCAGCACATTGAGGCCTGCCTCAGCATAAGTTCTGCATGTAGAACTGAAGGCCAGCCATGTGTGAATAATGCACCACAAGTCCTCTGAGCTACTGTTCTGTTTCTAAATTTTCCTTACCTTCACTTCCTGACCTGAAATAGCATTTTTCCCCCTAACATGGGCAGAAGCTCCTCTAAAGAGTGGTAGTCAAACCTTAGCTCAGAGACTGTAGACAGCAGAGTAATGTCACCTAGACACTCTTGGCCCTTCATGCTCCCTTTTGCGCATCTAATGAAAGCTCTTCATGGTTCCCAGAAAACCCTATGCCTGTAAAATTGACCCAGCTTCAGGGGGTTCACGGTCTCCACTGAAGGCCTTCTGTGGATCCCAAGTTAAAGGAGAATGGATCTAGAAATAAACATTTGTCATTAATATTTAATAAGTGTTCTTGAAATATAATTCACTTCCTGTGAAATGTATTGGAATTTAATTCACTTATTAAAATGTAGAGTTCAGTGGTATAATCAGAGTTGTGCTACCACCACTGCTACCTAATTTTAGAACATTTTTAAACACCCCAAAAATAGACCCCAAGCTCATCAGCAGTCACATCCCTCCTCCTGTCATTGCCACAAACAAGTTCCCAGCAAGCAGTCTTGCTCACACTTGCAGGTCCAACCTAAACTGGTTGGTAAAGTATCCCTTGGAACCTTGGGTCACTTGCCTCTGGTGGGGAAAGTCATTTCTCTAGTAGTACAGACACTGAATATTTTCTTCTGCCAGAGAATGCTCCCAGTCGTGACTCCCACCTTGCTCCAACCTGTTTGACAGCAGCTGTGCCAAGTCCCTCCAAACCCCGCACTGCAGAGCTGGTTCTCCAGCGGATGCAGCAGTTCAAGCGAGCAGACCCTGAGCGTTTGAGGCATGCTTCAGGAGAGTGCTCCGTGGAGGCCGCACTGGAAGAGAACAGCCCACAGAGTCCTCAAGAGGAGATGGTGGCAGGAAATGGTATGAGAAGCATGTTCTTATTCCAAGTAGAAATAAGTTATAGTACTAGAGTACGGGGGCAGAAAGGAACCAGTGTTCATTCCATTTCTGTTGTAGGCAGGCTCTCTGCCTATTGTTTAAACTTTTCCAGCCAAAGAATGAAGGGTCCCTTGGTCATTTCAGTTGGCTTCCTTGATAAAAGTACCTTTTTTAAATTTTTTTTTTAACTTTGACATTTCATTATATAAGTCTTTGCTTGATAAAAATTACAATGAATTCTCTATACCTTCATATAGATTCAACAATATGTTAACATTTTGCCACATATATACCCTTTTTTTTTAGTTTTTCAGATCTTAATTGGTTTTGTTTGTGATTCTAGAATTGACCAGTAGTCCCAAAGTTGGTTCAGAATGTTCCTGTTGTATGTTTCTTTAAAAATATATATTTTTATATTATTTGAAAATAAGTTATAGACATTATGATGCT